TGGGCTCCCACACTGATCTCTTTTTTCTTTTTCTTTTTTCTAATCTCTTTTTCAGAGTTTGTTATTTGTCTGTTTGTTTTTAAAAGCATAACTGACCTACAATACTATGTTAGCTTCTGGTGCACAACATAGTGATTTAACATTTCTGTATGTTTCAGAATGATCACAACCATGTCAGTCAGTTTGTCACCATACAAAGATGTTACATTACTACTGACAATATCCCCCATACTGTACTTTTCACACCCTTGATTCGCTTATTTTGTAACTGGGACTGTGTACCTCTTAATCTCCTTCGCCTATTTCTATCATTCCTCCATCCCCTCTGGCAACCACCTGTTTGTTCTTTGTGTCTGTGGGTGTTTCTGTGATGTTCGTTCGTTTGTTTTGTTTTTTAGATTCCACATGTAAGTGAAATCATACAGTATTTGCTTTTCTCTGTCTGACTTATTTCACTTGGCATAATACCCTCTAGGTCCATCCATGTTGTCACCAATGGCTGTGGCTATTTATTTTTTTAAGTCTAGAATCAGTGTGTTTCCAACAACTAAAGGGATTGGATATTTCATTAAACTATCTATCATACTTGTAGTAAATCTAATATATGGGCTGACCTTATGAAATTTATAAACTATAAAAATGATAGTGAGAGTTGTCTTCTAGGTCTGCCATTCACTTTGTCTGAAATCAAGTGTTCACTAAGGAAAAAATGATTAGTTTTTTTCATTTCTGCAAACTTGAAAATAGTACTGCTTGGTACTGCAAGGTTGGTTAAGATGTTTCATGACTGAAGGAATTTCATTCGCCTTGTTTTTACTTCCATAGTTTAGAAACATGCCTTGTAATGTTGCCAAATGCCTACATGTTTCTAATACACGCTAAAAGATAAAGGACTTTAAGCTACTTCTATTCAAAAAGAAGAGGAGTATTGTCTGTAATTATATCCGGATAAATTTGATTTACATAAACTATGGAAAGAGAATAACAGCTGACTAGCACTAGCTGAACAAAAGAAGAACAATGAACTTGTCCCACGTATGAGCACAGTTGCTGCTCTATTAGTTGCAAAAGTTTTTAAAACCCTCCTCTCACCTCCATGAGGCTAGCTGGCAGCCCAGCATAGTACAAAATGTACTTGAGAGAGATGGCAAAGAGCACAATCTTCCAGCTTCCTCCTTCAAATGAACCCTGAGACACGCAGAAATAAGAAGGAAACAGATACGCTGCAATATTAACAGCAGCCCTGGAGAACCAAGGAGTATTACCGTCGAAGACTGAAGGAAAAGAGCTTTGGGGCTAGAGCTTTATACGTGAAGGAAAAGCCCAGCTA